AAATGGTGCCAAGCCCAGAGACACAGGTGAGCTTGCCTAAGACCTGGCTCCTCGATGGCCTCTAGGGGATTGATTATAAAAGGGAAAAATAGTCATGTCACTAAGGGAGTGGGGATTGTGGGCTATACCGATGGGTTGGGGCCAGGAGAGGGAGTAGCTGGTCATTACATCAGGCCCAGATGTCGTCCTCAGCAGAGCTCTGCCTGGTTTCGTGAGGGTGTGGTCGGTTGGGACCTTCTCTTTCAGGGGGCTGGGGCTGAAACACAGCTGAGGTCAAGATGTTATCTTTAGTTTGACGAAAACTCTGTTCCCCTGATCAGCAGATCTGAGGTTTTATTCTTCAGACTGTCTGACGCTGACGAGAACCTGATGTCCGAAGGGTTTAATGATGAAGGCAGAGAACTTGCAGTACGTGCGAAAGTGGAAGACTGGAGGCCAGGGAGGCGACAGTGCTGTTAGACGGCACAAAGCTGGCTTGAATTAAGGAAAAAGTCATATTAAAGAAACGAAGTTCCTGTGGGGTTACACTAGCATATGTCTGCTATTATTAGGAGCATTTGACAAAGTAATATAAGAAAGCAATGAGTTTATAATCGGCCATTTTGAAAGCAGGAGTGGAAGGAAACAAAGTCCAGAAATATGGGAACTTTTAGAGTTGGAAGTAACAACATTTCTCATTCTCAAATGATAAAACTGAGACGACCTTTGAGTAACCAAGGCTGCCTTCTGGCAAGGATCAAATCAATGCTTAAATCAAGGTTTAAATCTCTGAACAGATTAAGGTGTCTCAAAGCAAAAACACCGAGTAAGCTGTGGAATTCAATAAACCCTTTCAACTGGACAAACTGGCTCAGGGAAAAGAAACTAAAAGTGGCTTGACAGATTCAAAGTACCCCCCCACACACACAATTTGGTGAAGGGAGGGAGACAATAATGGGGCTAAGGGAGAATTATTGTAACTGTAAAAAGTAAGTCCAGAAGATAAACTGTTAGTGTAGCTATTAGCACATGTAAGCTGACCTTAATAAAATAGATAAGAAGCCTATTTTTTAAATTATACCAACTAACTAGCCACCAGGCGGAGTAAAAAGACTGTGACTGTGCAAAACTTTAAAAACTTTGGTCTCAAACATTGATCATAGGAAGCATACTGAGTGAGAAAGCCTTTCAGCCTCCAAGAAGGACATATTTTGAATGTCCATCCTAGATATGGCCAAGAAGAGTAATGGGAAAAGAAGAATGTCCAGGCCCGGGTGTGGCTCAGCAGTTGAGCGTCGACCTAGGATCCAGGCGATCGGGGTTCAATTCCCAGTCAGGGCACATGCCCGGGTTGCAGGCTCGATCAATGACCCTCTCATCATTGATGTTTCTATCTCTCTTTCTCCCTCTCCTGTCCTCTCTGAAATCAATAAAGATATATTTTTTAAAAAAAGAATGTCCAGGAGTGCCACGTCCTCTCCCAACCATGTCGTCTGACAAGGTCCAGACATGGAGAGGAAGCGTCAAGGAAGGCGTCTTCTGGGGAGAGGACGTGGCATGTGGGTGGGAGTAATTGGCTTAATGGGAATACCTCTTCTCCTCCTTGGAGGGGGATTTTGGGTCGTAAAATCAATAACTAACCTGGGAATGGCAAATAATGATGTGTCCCTAAAAATCACTTCTGAAGAAATCCCGATTTCCCCAAGTCCAGTCACTACCACATGTGCTGGATGCTTTAACAAATTGTTACTAGAAGTAGCTAGGAAAACTCCCCCTGACGCCCCCAGTAAGGAATTTATGGAAGAACTAGGGAAAGCTGAGCTCACGCACCCGCCTATCCTCAAGTGCCCCCGCCTATGATTGCAGGATTAGTCGAGGACAAGAAAAGGTCCATCGCCCCTCGCCTACTGTACAAGGACCAGCCTGGGTAGCATATAGAGTAAATGGCAGATTGTGGCATCCCCCTGAAGGGGCTAACAGTATGGAAAGGCCACCAGACCCTCCTCAGCCTTACACAGGTGCTTCCAATGAGACCGGTATCAGAATAGTTAATGTAAACGGAAGGCATGTTCAGTGTGAGAACTTGCCCTTCATGAAATGCTTGGTAAGGCAATGGCCACGCCGGTGCTCGCTCCCAAAGAAACAAAAGCAAAGCATTCTTAAGCAGTTAATCAATAGCTATGGCAAAAGGCACTCTTTTCTTAGAAGAAAATGGCAAGAAGAATATAACNGCTTATGAATAGGTCCATAGTTAAAATATAACCACAAGAAGTAGTAACCACAGGCAAATATTATATAAAATTTCTGTCTCACAAGCCAATATATTACTGCTGCAAACAAAGCCGCATCTATCACTCTATAGGTCACTGATTTTTCCTTTCTCCTCTATTCTAAAAAGTAAAAGTCAAAATTGTTCCGTTCTGATGAAATCGAAACTTGTATTGTTTAACCTGTGAATAATATTTCTTGCTTGCTAACCGAAAAAATGTAATCGTAGCCAAAAAGAAAATATAGAAGATTATGTTGATTCTCAATAAAGTGGAACAGTGTCACATCACCTCCGAGTCGTGGTCTGCTGTCTCCCAGGGCCGACGCCTGGCCCACCTTCGGCACCCGACTCCTGCTGCGGCACAGGAGCTATGAGAACAATTAGCAAGAGAAGAGCTTCCAGGGAGTGGAATTGCGGCCCAGTCAGAATTCCACATCCAGGGGGTATGGAGACCCCCTCTACTCAATGGAATTTCAGAATGACTTTGGCTCAGTGACAGCTATGTGTCTCCCATACTGTCCCTTTCCAGCTGCGAGAGAGTTTATTGCAGCTATTCTGTAACAGTTCCACCACTGTATATTGGGGGATCTCTAGATAAAGAAGAGTGACATTCAAGCCTGATGGAGAAACCACCACATATCATCTAGAGTTCATGCATTTTTAATTTGCTGCCATAGTTGGGGGAATACTTTGTTTTTCTCCTTCGGGGATGGGGTGTGAGTATATTTTGTATGTGAAGAAGAGTGGTCCAAATATTGATGACCAGTAAGGCAGACAGACTTGTGCTCCTTATTATTCTGGCTCAACTCTCTCCAGTTCTCATTTTTACAAGGCAGAATTTTCTAGTCCCCTTATGTTTCAACGAGGCCACGTGATTATTTCTGGCCAATGAGATGTGAGAGGAAATGACACAGGTCACTTCTGAGTCACAGCAGTTAACTGCTGATGCAAGATTCTCCAGATGTCACTTTCCCCCACCTCCATGATTCTGCAAGAATGTCTTGAGATGGAGCTTTAAGTGATTAGGACAGAGTCCTCTACGAACCTGTGTTGGACGTTCAACATGAATGAGAATTAAACTTTTCTTTCGGTAGGCTACTGAGATTTCAGAGGTGGTTTGGTATCACAGCATAACCTAGCCTGCTTTGACTGATAAACCTATAAACAGCAAGAGGGACTTGTAATTCCACAGATCTATCTTTCCTAACTTATATATGACCATGTCTTTTCACACATTTAGTAAGAGTTATTTCATCCTGGACCCACAATTGAAGTCTTCCAAACTTAAAATACAATATGTTAAATAGTCAGTACAGTATCTTTTGGTTAATTTTCAAAGACAACTTTCCTCTTGTAAAATCTTTAAAATTCTAGAAATAAGCAGGAGAGCCAATGCTTGATTTCTGAGATCCAGCCAGCTCACACATGGGTGGTGTGGTGAAAAGAAGAAAAGTATGTTTTTTTATATAAGTAACATTTATCAAAAACCAGTGTAAAAATCTAGAATTGAATAAAATTATCGATTTTACTGCCTGAAGAAGGTCCCCAAAAGAAACAAAAGTGACTGTTTCAAGCCTTGTCCTAAATATTAGGAATAAATTCTTTCTGATTGGCAGTTGGCTTACACTAAAAAGAACAGTCTTGGGCTAGTGAGGTAGAACCAATCGAAATTAAATAAGGTTCTTTAAATTTTTCTTCTTAAATTTTGGGAAAATGAAATAATCTTACTATTTCCAAAGAACAAATGACACAATGAGAGATACTTTTTCTAAAACAGTGAATAAGAAGATATATTATAAATGCCCAGTTTTTAGGCACCATCTCTCATTCCAAAGAGAAATGTGAGACTGATGACTACTTCTGATATGGTACAACTTTAAAACCTAAAAATAAGATATGGAAGAAAAACAAAGCACCTTTTCTTTTTTAGCTTTCCTTCGTTTATTGTAGATGGCAAGCAACATAGGATAGATTTAGGTTTAGAATCTTTCCTAAAAGCATTTCATTTCTACCAGTGTTTTAACATGAATTTAATTTTGCTGTTTTCTCATCATAAAACATACTCTATTAAGATAAAAAACTGTACAAACATTCTTTACCAAAGAGAATTTTACCTTCTCTAAATAGGCACCTTGAATTTTACCATTTACAGTCTCTGCAAGTTAAAACAGTGGGATGCTAATGAACTGGGTCTCTCTACAATTAAATTTTTAGCTCGTAAGGACTAGGAACTGTGTTTTCACCTTCAGGCATTCCCCAGCATCAACCATGAGTGATGAGCCAGTACCTTTGCATTTACCTCTCTCTGTACTCCAAGGGTATCAATCCTTTAAACCTATTTTTTTCCACTCTGAGTATAAAAGAAAGAAAATTCTGGTCTTTACAAAGTTCTATTAGGAGAGGGAATGTCTTAGAAGAAATAAAGGGCACTCAGGGTGAAGGCAAGTTCAAGGAAAAAAACTACACTTAGCTCTGAGAAATACCTTTGGAGCTGTGGAAATACTACAGAAAATGGGAAACATTTCCTCTTAAAAACGAAGTCCCTTGAAAATTCAGTAAATTCTCCAGAAATCACAAACTGCTGAATGTAACAATTCCTTAGGAAATGTTAAGAGTCAAGTCTGCATATTAGTGGAGCTGGGGGTCAAAACAGAATCGGCTCATATGACCCTGACAGAAGGAGCCAACGTGGCAGGGAGACAATTGTATCACTTACGTTTGATTTCCACAGACATGGCACCAATCCACATAATTTATGAACAAAACTGTTTTTAATACAGTGAGCTTATTGCATTTGTAAATATGCAGCCCAGCTGAAAACAAAGAACTCAGAACCATAGAAATATATTTGTCTCTACGAAAATATGGACACTAAGAATTAAAGTTTTCATATTTTTAAGAAGAAAGATAGTCATTTTTGTCAAGCACGAACAGTGCTTCGGGCTCAGCTCTGTCACGTGATTCCACAAGCCTATTCCTGAAAGTACGCTATGCACGGGCGACTGAGGGAACACTTGACAACATCCACCTCTCCGCCTCCGTTCTTCTCCCGCTGGAAGTGGATGCTGACCAAGTCCTCCACAGTCTCCTCATCCATCATGTGAAGGTCTTCCATTCCAGTCAGAAGCACTGTCCTCTTAGATGTTCCCGAAAAGATCTAAAAAGGAAAGTAAAAAAGCTAAGTAGAAAATTTTCTAAGAGCTCTGAACTGCAAAACTTTCACGGATAAGCGCTGCTTAATATTTTGGAGTTCTTAGGAAAGACAGGGAGCCGCAGGGAGATTTTTCAAGCAAGAGCGTATCAGAGTCAGATCTGAGTTTCAGAAAGACAACGCTGGTGGCACCAGACAAATGGAGGAAAGAAGGGCAACTCCACTGACAGAAAGGCCAGTTGGAGAGGTAGTCAGAGGCAGAAGCGACAAGATTAAATGACCAAGCAAATGTTTGAGCTGAAGCAAAACAAAGAGTTAAGCATGAATCCCAGCTTTCAGGTTGGTGGGCTAGGTAGATGGTGGTGCCATTTAAGGCCTGAGTAGGAACAGAAAAAGGGAGCGGGTTTGGGGGTAAAGATAATGAGTTCAGAGAAAATGAGCAGGAAAATTTATTTTTAATGCCCAATGATAGGAGACACATGAGAGAAATGTAGCTACGTCTCCACATACAAAAATAAAGATTGTACCATTATCACCTGAGTAATTTGAATTTTTAGAAGTGTATAATAAATTAAGGTACAGTTTTGCATTGAAATACTTTCCTTTAAAATATTTTTTAATTTTTTATTGATTTCAGAGAGAGGAAGGGAGAGGAAGAGAGAGATAGAAACATCAATGATGAGTCGTTGATCAGCTGCCTCCTGTACGCCCCTGCTGAGAACTGAGCCTGCAACCTGGGCCTGGACCCTGACAGGGAATCAAACCTTGATCTCCTGGGTCATAGGTCAATGCTCAACCACTGAGCCACGCCAGCTGGGCTAAAATATTCTTTTAAAAAACAAACTCATTCTGCACCAAGCAGATATAAAGAAACTACTTTGATATCCCTCACTAATAAGATTCAAACAGTAACAGACTCACAACTTTATCTTTATTTTTTGTGGGGTGGGATCAAGCAGTATGTCCCCAAAATGAAAGAAAACAGATGACCTTACCTGAAACTTTTTCAAGTGTGTTTCTATGTATGGAGAAACAACAACTCTATGGCAGTCTTGATTTATATAAAGAGGGTAGTCTTTCTTTTTCAAAATCTTGTCAGCAACTAGGAGTAAATTTTTTAAAAAACATTTTATTTATAACATAAACATTTTAAGCTAAGTTAAAACTTCCAACAGAACAATATAACAATAAACAGTAAATTGAGTGATTAATTTTTAAGAAATTGTAGTCTACTTTAAAGACTTCACAGTACATAACTTTGAAAACTATAAGGACAAACAATACTAAGGTCTAGATAGACCCTTTTCTCTTGAACTCTCTATCACAGTCAGTCAAAGCAGAGAGGGTTTCAATGTCCTTAACTAGACTTACCTTGAGCTAGCTACATAAAATGCAATTACCATCTGCAAAAAGCAGCCCACCCATCCTAACAAGACTGTTTCCCAGTTTTTAAAGAAGTATAAAGAAAAACGATTATTAGACTACTATATATATTTTATAATATATATTTTACTATATATGTATATAGATATATAGTAAATTACTATATTACTATAGTGTGTGTATTTATGTATGTATTAGTTATCCTGTAACTAATACATGATACTAGGTAAACTGATATAATGATGTTAATTAAAGGGGTTGGGGGGAGTGTTGAATGTCATCTAGAAAAAGTGAAGACAAATAATAAAAATTCATCAGTCTTCTCCAAAACAAAGACTAATCAGACTTATGTTTTGCAGCATTTTCCTCCTAGAGAGTAAAAAGATAATGTGTCAAGATAGCACAAAATTTAGTAGAACTAGTTTTGAAGAATATCCAATCACTTTTTCTCTCCTCTCCCCAGTCCACCTTGGATTGGCAGCATGTACAGTGGTTATGAGTACAGGCCCTTGCTGGCAAGGATGTGGACATTGCTGGTAGGAATGTAAAGTGGTGCAGCCACAGTGGATAACAGTACGGCAGTTCCTCAAAATAGTAAACATAGAATTACCATATGATACAGCAATTCCAGAAAGATCTAACCATAACTAACTACAGAATAGGAGAAAGGGAAGGAAACATCTCAATTTTTACTAAACAAGTGCTCTTCTCTATTATTTCAATTTTCTTTAGAAAGCATGGATTAATTTTGCTATGAAAAAACCTAATCAGTCAATGTTTTTAACTGTATACTTGGATTTGTATTATATGTTCAAACCTAGGAGAAGCCCTAAGAACTAGAGCAAGAGATTTTTACACTGAGAATCACTTGAAGAAATTAACAGAAGCAGTTATAGAACCTTCTGTTTTTAATCATAAAAATGGAACCCTCCCTAAGATGATTTGGTAAAAGTCCATTTCTACCAAAAAAGGGAACAGATGTCTAGCTGTTCTTCCGAAAGAAGATCCCTTGCTTCCCTGTTATCGACTTTCTCCACCTAAGAGACCCTTGTCAGTCCTAACAGGTGGGATGAAACAGACTGTTTAATACATATATTTATTTAGTAATAAATATATATATGCAAATGTCTCTGCCACACATGCACTGTGTGATCTTGGGTTAGTTACTTACCCTCCCTAGGCCTCAGTTTCCTCATCAGTAAAATGAGCATCACACCCACCTCCAGAGCTGTGCTGCAGGTCAGAGGAGATAAGGGTATGCAATACCTGGCTCCCAGCCTGGCACGTGATCAGGATGCACTAAGATGCACGTACCCGTTATTTGTAAGATTACCATTCTCAGTAGCATTCATGGAAATCATTTTCAGGACTCCACCATTTTATAAGGTTTAAAAACAATCCCCTATTATTATGCTGTCTAATAAGTTCCCAATAAAAGAAGTAGAAAAAGAATACTTTTAGAAAGGGCAAACATAACTTAAATGGTGGAGTATTTTTGTTAACTTTCTAAATGCACGAATACCTCCAGTTTCCACAAACGTGATGACAGCACTTCCGGTCTGTTTATTATACTCCACGCATTCCACTTCTCCGCCTCCGTTGCGGGACTTACAAAAGCTCAGTTCTAGCTTGTCTCTCATCTGATTTTCAGGCAATTCATCAGGAATTTCAGTGACATTGATCTTCACTTTAGACAGTTCTGCAAGAACCTGGGAAACCGTTTCATATTCAGAGACATGGGTGAGGACAGTGTCCACGTTTAACAGAATTCTGCAAAGCTTCAATCAGTGTTACCTGGAATCTGACTCCTGATTTTAATGGAACTGGCTTGGCCGTAACCTCCACATCTATATTCACTATCTGCACGCGATGTTTCCCCATTCTGATCACATTCTGGGCAACTGAAAAATAATTTGGAAAGTATTAATTTCCAATATTTCAAAATATTTTTACCCTTTCAGTTTAAGAACAAATTATCCTAGATGGAGACTTGACTTGGGGTGGTGAACACACAATACAGTGTACAGGTGATGTGTTGTAGAATTGTGCATCTGAAACCTATATAATTTTATTAACCAGTGTCACCCTAATACATTCAATAAAAAAAGAAAAAATCACCCTAATATTTTTAATTTACTTTCATTTTAAAAGATTTCATTTTTAAACTTTTCTTAGGACTTCCAGCTGATAATGGTCTTGCCACCAAAGTAGGATATATTAATGTCAAAATATATCAGCAAAAATGACAATGCAGATAGTCTCATCAAGTTCTAGATTCATTTCTTAAGATACAAGCCTGATAATCCTTCAGAAATTCATGTACCATATCAGTAGTCACACACCCCTCCTTTCCACTGTTGACAATTACCAGAGAATTCCCTTAGGACATGAAAGCACAGCCAGAAATTTCTTCCATGTTGAGTAAGTGGGGAAAATCTTTCTGGGTAAGTGTCATTCTGACAAGTAACTTTACTTATCATTTGTCACTCCTTTTTAATATGTTACTAGCACCATAGAAATAAATATTTATTTTCATCTCTGTTGTTCCCAAGGATTACATATTAAAGACCACATAGACTTGAATATCAAAAAGTAAATCTCTAGTTTTTTGCCATATTTAATTAGGAATTCTACTTTCACTAAAATGTTTTTGAGATCATGCATTGAAAAGCTGATAGCCTTGCCATATCGATCACAAAACTGCCACGTCAAATTTATCCATGCAAATAGGTGAGGCTCAGTAATATAATTATGCCAAAAATCATTAGAATTGTAAACTGCAACTGTGTGTCCATTTAAAATGCATGTGGGTGTGTTTATTTTTAATTGCGTGACATGAGAGGTTATAACTCTTCAGTTGTTAATATTTGGAGCTGCTTGCTCTAATTTGTCACAAAGATAAGAGATGTCTACTCCTGGTCTTATAAACCTCACTTGTGTTTATGACAACCAGATAGCACACCACAGCTGGAGGAAGGGAGAAACTGGGCTCGAAGACAGGGCCTTGTCATGTGGGAATTCACATTCATTGTACCATGATATGACACTATAACTTGAATTATGACTTTTTTGTTAATAACAGGAAGCAATAACAGAAAATATCAATGAAGTAATACTTAAATGATGCTCTTTCCCTCTTGCTCCCCACACCCAAATCTCCAACATCTGGTGATCTGACACAGCTGAGAGGAACCACTTGTGCTTCAACTTCTGTGTGACACTGACCAACAAAAGCCAACTCCTGCTAATTATATAAATCCAAAGTTGTCCCAGGAGAGCAGGACTTCAGAGCCACGCCTGTGGTGGGAGCAGTGGTGCAGCTCTTTGTGAAGAGAATCCCATTCTCAGCATTCTCAGGTAATTCCTGTGCAGAATCCCTGCCTCCCAAATCCTCACTTCTGTCCTTCAGGTTAATCCCAATTACCACTGCCAACTGCCAACATGCTCTTGGTCTCCCTCTCTAACCCTCAGCTGCAGGGGTGGACCCTGGGTGAATGAACAGTATGAGCACACACTGACCTGCTAGAAGGCCATTGTTTTGTTTTTAATTAAGGTAAAATCGACATAGAACATTATATTAGTTTCAGGTGTACAACATTATAATTCCATATGTGTATATACTGCAAATTGATTGCCATATCTAGTCACCATCACCACGATACAAAGTTACAAAAACATTTTTTTGTGTGTGATGAGAACTTTTAAGATTTACTCTCTCGGTAACTTTCAAATATGCAATACAATTATTACTGACTATAGTCACCATGCTGTACATTACACCCTCATGTCTTATTTATTTTATATCTGGAAAGTTGTACCTCTTGACCCTAACACTTATTTTCAGGCTACCGTGATGGAGCAGGCATCAGGAGACGCGAGTTACAATAGTAGATTCTCAACATCTGAGCACTTGAAGGGCTTGTGAAGACCATCTGGTCCCACCCCATAACTTGACATATGGTGGCCTGCTCGGAGGAATGCTGGCTCAGTAGAAAGTAAAGGGATACTCAGGGTTTGGCCCCAGCTCTGCAATTTGTTAATTGTATCGACCTTGAGCAAGTTCCTTATCTTCTTTAATCTTCGTTTCCTTATCTGGAAAATTACTAACATGTAGCAATAATGACAGCTAACATTTAATAAGTGTTTATTATGTGTCAGGCACTGCTAAATATGCTATCACCATTTCTCATTTAATACTCAAAGCAACCCCATGGGGTAGATAGGATCACAAAGCCTGTCATAAAAATCTGAGATTTATAAAGAACCCAACCCAAATCACACACTTCTAGAAAAGGGCAAAGATGGCACTCAAAGCCGGATTCTCCTCATTAAGGTGTCTCCAGCTCTGATCAGGGTTCTACACCATGGCAGATTTAGCAAATATCAGGTCCCATCCCACACCTCTGACTCCTAGGCTCTGTCCATTCATTGGTCATGTGCCCTTTGGTAAATCACTTAAACACCTGAGAATCTGTTTTCTTGGTTATAAAATGCAAATAGTAACTCTCCTTTATTATAGAGTCATGAGAATATGAAATGAGATAATGTCTATGAGAACTCTCTGAGAACTATGTAGAGGTCTATGTCCTGAAACATTATTGCTAGTGTTATCATTTGGAGGTAGCAGGTAGAGTAGAAAGACACTGGTATTGGACATCACAACACTTGGACTTGAGGCTCAGAGCCATTGCATTCTGAGTGAGTGATCATATTCAAGTCACTTAACGTCTCAGAGTCAGTTTTCTCATCTGTGAAATGGGGATAACCATACCTGCCTCAGAGTTTCACTATGAGAATGGGATAAAATAATTTGTGTAAAATGGTAAAGCAATAGCCAAATATCTATGAAAGCTCTTTGAAAGTGCAAGTGCTTTCCAAAGGTAACTTGGTCACATTGTTGAACATTCGTCATACCTTCCTCTTCTTCAAAGGTGATGAGTGCTTCTCCTTTTTGTAGCACATAGGGAACTTGTGAGCTCACATGAAATGAACAGGAGATATTTAAATACTGGCTGTCATTCTCAGGATTCTTTGAAGATGTGAATTTCATCTTTGTTTCGGGAATATCCTCTTTAATCTAATTCAAACAGAAATGTTGGATTAAAATCAAGACAAGAAATAGCTTAAGTCCTTCCAGTGATAATGTGATCGACCATCCAATAATTCATTCTCCACTGATTTCAGAACCCCACAGAATACTGAGTGTTGTCTTATTTAATAACTTTAATAATAGCTTCTGCCCAGGTAAGTACTCAGTAATGTGATCAGGTACTGGTCTTCCATCTTATTTCACAGATCAAATTATAAGTATATAATCTCTCACTTTTTCTGATCAGTATATAAACTGGTCAATATTGTATGGTAATTGATTCTAAAGACTACATCTTTCCTCTAGCTGAATGCCTTTTAAACAACTATGCCAATAATAGGCTAGCTTGTAAGAGACTCATTAGATAGGTTTACTCTTATTGAAAAGAAATATGAAATGGAGTTAGGAGTACACTATAGTTAATTTGATAGCAAACCCAGAAAATTTCATCCAAAAAGTCTCCTGAACCATATAATTTAAAATTTGTAAAAATAAAACATTAAAAAAAATTTATCAAATTTCCCCAACACCTGCCCATCAGCTTTTTACCCATCACCACAACTTAGGTTTATAAAAATGTGAAGGAGCGCTGCCAATGAGATTTCTATCTGGAAGATGAAGTGAAGTGGCTATGCCTGGCTGCCTAAAATCACTGGACTCAACAGACCTACACGCAAATGTGCAGATGAGTCTGGTGTTGGCATTTCTATTGCCCAGGGTTATATGCATGCTGAAACAAAAGGTGTTATCACAAAGAGATTAGAAATATTCATTGAGCCATTTGATTGAAACTTATATTCATTGTATATCTACACGTGACTTCAGTGGAATTTCTGATTACCATAATTTCAATTTCAAAACAATCTGTAATGTCTGTGAAAAGGCAGTGTTTCTCAACAGTGCGGGGACAGCCAGTGTACAGGCATACCTCGTTTTCTTGCGCTTCGCTTTACTGCATTTGCAGATATTGTTTACTTTACAAACTGAAGGAAAGACCCTCCAGCAAGAAGATTACGATTCGATGATGACTCAAATGATGATTAGCACTTTTTAATTAAGGTATTACATTGTTTTTTAGATATAAGGCTATTGCACACTTAATAGATGATAGTATAGTGTAAACACAACTTTTATATGCACTGGGAAACCAAAAGAGTCATGTGACTCACTTATATTGCAATATTTGCTTTATTGCGGTGATCTGGAACCAAACCCACAATACCTCTGAGGGGTGCCTGTATCTAGAGAAGTTGCAAGCTTCTAGAGTGAGAGTGAGAGTGCCTGATTCCATTCCTGAGCACACTGTGGCAGGAAGCAATCACTATGCCCTCTGGACCATAGCTTCAGCCCTCAGCAAAGTGGATCAACTGAGCTGGCTGGTTTTTTAAGGCCCTTTGAGTTCTAAGACTGAATGATTCTGGCTCCAGTCTGAAGCAGCCAGAATCTTAACAGAGTCTTCTCTAAGTCCCATAAACACAGGAAACTGCCCTTCCTGATATTCCATATCCTATCCCCATGCCAGAAAGAAAAAGTGACAATGCTTTAAGCATTTAAATCATGTAAAGAAACAATTATGAGTTGTTATGAAGGAAAAAAGGGGTGAAAGTTATGTCTAATTCAAATATAGGAAAATTTAGACGAGACTAAAGGTGAAGATAAACATCTTTTTTTTTTAACTGTGCAACTCACATAAATTACTGTAGCACCTCGGATGGGAAGAACAAAACAAGAATTTAGTGAGAAGACCAAGAGTTTGGTCCAGAAGTGATTGATGATGACCAATGGGCTTTTTGTGTGTCAATTTTATTAATGTATACATAAATATCAAAAGTGCATTATCATAAATATACAGCAAGATGAAATTTTACAAAGTGATCACACGTGTGCCCAGCACCCAGCTCAAAAACAAAACATGACCAACATCCCAGAGGCCTTCTAGTTCCTACCTGGTAGTCCCTACCATGCCAACTTCTAACATCCTGCTTTTGTGCTATATTTAAAGGGAAGCAGATGGTATGCCCTCTTTTATCTTTTTTGGCTCTACACTGTGCTCATTAAATTTATCCATGTTGTTAGATAAATCTGTTCATTCTCATCGCTGTGTAGTATTTCATTGTGCAAATACACCTCCAAATTATTAATTCACTCTACTGTAGAAGGACACTGGGTTGTTTTCACTTTGGTACTATTACAAACAGCAGTGCCATGGATGACCATATGTTTTAAAAGCGAGTCTTATGTAATGAAATCGCTTTTTCTGAAAAATGGTGTCATTAAAAAATGTGATACGTAAAATAAGTAAAGGGTACCTGAGAGTTTCTGGTGGCCTCTTGTAATTCAGCTTCAAGCTTTTGGATCTCCATCTTTAAGTAAATATTTTCCTTTAACATTTCATCAATTAATTTCTTTAAAAAAGAAAAAACATATATCAAATAGCACCAAAAATTTAAACAACCCCTGACCTCATTTTTCTAAAGGAATTAAAGAAGATAAATTTCTCTCACCCCGAACAAGGCAAAAAAAGACAGTAAACAGTCTCAGGAAAAATATAATCATGTGAATAATAAATTTGTTGTATGTTTTACATCATCTCCTACCCCTCCCGAATGTTATTATCTCCATTTCACAAACAAGGAAACTGCCTTTCACAGAGATCTAGGTCACAGAAATTTTTATAGTAGAGCAAAGATTGAGACTCGGGTCTTCTGAATCTAAGTCCAATGCTCTATCAACTCCTCTCCCAGCTATTTGTGACCGTGCTATAACTTCAAATTGCACATTATGTTACTCTGGGGCAAATTTTTAAAAAATTGATGTGTTTTTTTGCTGCCTTCACATTCCAGACATATGGTCTTGGGTAAATGGTGGTTTGCGCTACCTGAGCTTCCCTTCCCTCTTCACTCCAATCAGATAACTGGTAACTATATGCTCTTAACTTCTAGGTGCAAAGAAATGAGGGAGGGAGTGAAAAAGCAATAATATTGTAAGCCTTGTAAGAGACAGAATAGAAATATGATTCTTCTTGTAAGGCTTGAATAATGGTAGTAAAAATATTTTCGAAAACCCTAATATCCTCCCTAATTCAAGGTAATGTTGGATAAAGACATATAAAAACATGCTTCACTGCAAAAGGAATGTATATAAATTAATTTTTAATAATACCCAGTAATTTTCCCTTTTTACCTGACTTTGTTCATCTTTCAAAAATTCATCTGTTGAAGCCTCCTTAAGAAGTTGATTTTTATCTTCACCAGCTGCCATGATTCCTTAATATCAGAAATTTTTAATATTTTAAAAACAGTATATACACACAAACTCAATAAGAAGGAAATAACAACTTTGACCCCTTTACGGAAGAAACATCTCTTCTTTGCTCTCTCTTTCCCTCCTATTATCAAAATCTTTATTATCATGTGGCTTATATTCAAACAGAGTCTATATTTCAAATAACTCTACACTTATAAATATATGAAAGCGTTCCAAAAATCCTTTGCTTTTCAACACAGTAATAGAAAATGATAGGGATTAACATTCCTTTGTAAGTTAACATCTCAATCATAATATCATGCTCCCTTCTAAAAGATTGCTATTTCAGTCTTCTAGCCTTTTCTAGGACTGAGACAGAAAAAGTACAAGCGAACACCTCATGATGCCAAAAGCAAGGAAGTGCCCAACAACTGATGAGGACATGTAGAAGGTCAAAGGATGCAGCTTGAAGAGGTTCTCACTGGCTAAATTATTTACTGGTATGCTTAATTTATTAATTTATTAAGCATACCAGTAAATAATGACAGTAATAATTAAATCCAGAGTATATGAGTCTATACTGACATAAATACATTAAAATTTTGATGAGGAAAGGACCATTTAGGGAATTTCAAAATACTTCTCCACAAACTACTTATTCATTTCAAAGGGGAAAAGAATAACTTTACAGTGGAAAAGCCAGGCAGACGCCACCATAATGAAATAATCAAAGTCAATAATGAGATAAATCAAAATTCAGTGCCATCTGATAGGGTGCGCTGAGAACACAGCATGACTTCTATGATATTCCTGCCAAAGATGCATGATCTGAATCTAAGCGTGAAGAAACATTACACAAACTTCAAAAGTGTTGCGTTCATAAAAGCCAAGGAAAGACTGAGAAACTGTGCCAGCCAGAAGAAGACTAAAGAGACATCACAACTAAATGCAACCTATGATTCTGAACTGGGTCTTTTTGTTATACAGGATATTATTGGGACAATTGGCAACATCTGAATTGGATCCAGGAATTAGATGGCAGCAATGTTCAATGTTAATTCCCTGATTTTGATCACTATGCAGCTATGTAGAGAACACCTTTTTTTGTAGGAAATACATATTCAAGAATTCTGGGGTTTGAAGTTGAAAACATTCTCAAATAATTCAGGGGAAAAAAATTTTGTTTGTATTGTACTTGCCACTTTTCTGTTAAGTTTGAGGTGAGTTCAAACTGTTCTTCAAGGTCTATCCCGAATTTCCCCACAAATTCTTGAGGCCTTTTCTGATTCCCCCAAAGGACAGTACTTCTCTCTCTTTTACCTTTTTTGGGGGGAGCTTTAATTGTTTGCGTACCTGTGTAATTTTTCCATGACTAGATAGAGGGTCACCACCTTGAGGCCAGGGACCACGTCCACTCCTCCTTGCACCCACTCAGAGCACAATACAAGTTTAAACACCAAAAACACTCAAAATTCATAGAATTCTGCAGTATCTTGATTCAGTTATTTGTTCTGCTCAGGACACTCCAGGCATATTAAAGTTCTCTTATTACATTTCCAGAAAACAGAGACTGCAACATTATTTAATTGATTTTTAAGTCAATATTCTTAGAAACTTGTAATAAACGCTCTCAATATATTTAACTCATTTAAATGGTCCACTACATAATACCCACAGAACTTCTTATGACATATTTAGTATCTGGATACTCTCCCTCTTTGCGTGAGTGGGATGTACAGTAACAGGCTTCCTTTTATGCAATCAGATGGCCCCCTTAAAGATGTCCATATCCTAATCCCCACAATCTGTGAATGTTAGGTTACCGCTAAGGAGAATTAAGGTTGTAGCCTGAATTAAGGTTGCTAATCAACTGACTTTAAAACACGTAGATCGTCCAGCCAGGCGTGGCTCAGAGGTTGAGCGTCCATCTAGGACCCAGGAAATCATGGTTTGATTCCGGGTCAGGGCACATGCCTGGGTTGTGGGTTCAATCCCCAGCTGGGGGAGTGCAGGGCACAGCAGATCAATGACAACTCTCATCATTGATGTTTCTATCTCTCTCCCTCTCCCTTCCCTTCCTCTCTCTGAAATCAATGAATATATATAATAAAATTAATAAAATAATAAAATATGGAGGGCATCCTGGATTATCAGTGAGGCCCAATGTAATCACCACAGTCCTTGAAAGTGAGAGAGGAAGGCAGCAGAGCAGAGTCAGGGTGAGAGGTGACAACGCAAGAATGGTCAGAGAGATGGGTCACTGCTGGCTTTGAAGGTGGACAGAGGGCAGCAGGGAGCCGAGGAAGGCGGGCAGCCTAAAGCAGCGGGAAAGGGCGAGAAAAGATTCCCTTCTGTAGCCTGCAGGAAGGAAGGCAGCCCTGCACACACACTGCAGGGAGACCCAGGTTGGACTTCTAACCTGCAGAATTTTAAGATAATAAATGCGTGGTTTTTAAGCTACTAAATCCGTTGTAATCTGTTACGCCAGCAAATGACAAAGCCAACACGAACGGCCTCCACGCACCTTCCGCCCGCTTTCTAAGACGCGCCTGTGCCGGCGATGCCAGGCCTGAGACCATCGAACCTGCCCGTTTGCGCGCCTGGTAGCCAAAGGAAAGAGTGAGGCAGAAAAGGAGGAAGGTGGTAATTAGTAAAATGGCGATTGACATCGTTTTTTTGAAACTTACGCTTGTTATGTAGCCAGGCTGTCTCTTTCGAGAATATCCCTGCTATTCTGAAAAGTGAGGCGCGACTGCCAAACCCTACGCCCGCCAGAAGAGGAACCCTCCTTACCCAGCCAGTTTCTCCAAGAGCTGCCTGGAGAGACACTACGGGAGCGGCGGGGCCACGCAAACCACTTTAAGTTTCAGTTTCCGAAAGAAGCAAACTAAGGAGCGGGTCAGAGGCCTGGGGCCGCC